TTTTTCATTTTTACTTTTAATCTTTTACTTTTTGAGACAGGTTCTCTATGTTATCTTTGGCTGTCCTGGAACTTCCTCTGTAGACCAGGCTGTACTTGAGCTCACAGAGATCCACCTGCCTCTGCCTCCCACATGTTGGTATTAAAAGTGTGCACCACCACACCTTGAATTCATAGAGATCTGTTTGTCTCTGCCACCCAAGCATTGGGATTAAAGCATGTGTCACCATGCCTTGAACCCATAGAGGTCTGCCTACCTCTGTCTTCCAAGTGTTGGGATTAAAGGTGTATGCCACCAAAAACAACTCTTCTTTCTATCTCTCTTTTAAGGACTTTAAGCTTTTTCTTTTCTCTCCCAAGACTGCTTATATTTTTTAACACATTGCAAAATATTTACAGTTCTTCTTTGTCTTTGAATCTCTTTTTACTGTATATCTCTCTTTTTCTGACCATGTGAATCTTTAATTTGCTAAACAATATGGAGAGGATTAAAGCTGTGGCTTTGACATCTGGATCCAGCCCATTCCTTAGCTTTCTGAGATTCCAGACTCATGGCAGAGATACCGGCTTCAAAGCTGCAGAGAAACCCTGCCTCAAAAAACAAAACGAAAAGAAAGAAAGAAAAAGAAAGAAATAAAGAGTGAACATGGGGTGGTACTAGTACTTGCTAAAAGCAGAGTTATGAAAATTAAGAGAATCAATGCTGAGTCATAGCATCAGCTCATCCTATCTGATGAGCCTGTTTCACCATCACGGTTCTCTTCATGAGACTCTTCCTTTCCGCATCCTTATTTGCTGGTTCCTGTTCGCTGGCAGATTCTTAGTGTGTGTTTGTGTGTGTGTGTGTGTGTGTGTGTGTGTGTGTGTTTGTGTGTATGTAGAGGCCGGAGATTCACACTTTGTATTTCTCTCAGTGACTCAGGATGTTTCACTGAATCTTGACCACAGCAGTTTGGCTGGATTACCTGTCTAGAACCCTAGGGATTCTCCTATCTCTATGAACAGGTGTAGGGATTATAGGCATGCACTACTGGCCCTGAATTTAAAATATGTATTTATTGTTGTTATTTTAACTCTCTCTCTCTCTCTCTCTCTCTCTCTCTCTCTCTCTCTCTCTCTCTCTCTCT